TTGGGCTCAGGCCTGTCGTGGCAGCAGAAGCTAGGCACCCCTTGGGCGGCCTGCCGTAGGCCCGCGGTACAAATGGCATCTTATGCTGAGCCGTGAGACCACATAAAGCTTCCTTTAAACTTGTTTAGTTGTCAAATGAAAGGCAGAGCTGCTTCACTAATTGCTCTGGCTAATTACATCTTTCCAAATCCAGGCAGTGCTTATTGCTCAGGCTGCATTGCCAATACATCTTATTGCCTCCTTGTTCTGAAAGCCCTGCTAAATTGCACATGTGCTTTCTGCAATATCATTTCTAAAGGCTGGCAGTATTTTCATTTAAATTCTGTTGAATAAACCAACATTGTAAAAAAACAAAAAAAATCAGAAAAAGATGTTGGGAATGCCCATCTGCTTTTGCATCGCTTTATTTTGTAGATAGTGCAAGTAGTATGGAAACAACATTTGGATTTCAGTTTAGTAAATGGAAGCACAGTGGCTTTTAATAGCTTAAGGGCTTGTTCTGTTCCTGACTCTGCTACCAATTTGATTTGTGACTGGGCAAGTCATAACACAATCAGGTTTTAAAAAAAGGCTTCCAGTTTAGGGGACCTGATTTCAGGCATTTGGGGCTCAATTTTGGTGATCTTGCAGGCATTCACAGCCCCTATGAGTTTCAGTGCAAGGGGTGGGTGCTGCAAATCAGGCTGCAGGTGTCTGACTTTAAGCCATTCAAGCCTTTAAAGTTGACTCTGGGACTTCTTTTCTAGTGCATATGATTATTCTGGATGAACATATGCATGAAGAGGTGTTTTGAGAGTCTTACATGAGCAGTATAAATGTATGAGTTGTAATTTTTTTATTCATTTATATATTACTGTAATGAATACTAATTTACTTGCTCTGGTGAAAAAGACAATGCTAACTCAGAAGACATCAGCTCTTATGTGGCGGAGGGGAGGATGTCAGTTTTGAACTGAGGCAGTTTGAGTCCTGTTACAGCTCTGCCGCCGGAGGACTATCCCTGCAGGTCACTTAGTTCACGTCACAGGGTTTGGGATTCTGCTGAGGCACTTTGAGACGGGTGCCTGGTTGCCTGAGGATGGTTCCCCTAAGAGACAGGCCAGCCTGTCTAAAACGAATCAGCCCCCCAAGCACTGATTTTTTTCAGACTGAAGAGGAATCCCAGGGGAACTTGTCTCCCTGCTTGGGTGACTTAGCTACCTGGTGGGGGGGAATGAATTGAAAGCTTAGCCCATGAGTGATGAAGATGCTGAAATACTCTTGCTTCTGGCTTGAGTTGGAGATACTCACTGTTAAAGAAAGTCAGGGCAGGAGCATCTCAGCTTGTGTTCCTCATCTGTAAAACAAAGCTTACCTGTTTCATCCCTAGCTTGGTGTACAGGCCATAATCTTAATACTGGAAATTAATTTAGCTTTCATTAGGGATGTGCCCCTAGAATCAATTATGATTTCATTAAATCTATTTCCTCTGCAGCCTTTTAAAATGTATCAGAATTAACAAGTGAGGAAAAGTGAATGAAAAAACCCCAAGTTCAGTTATGGAGAAAACATTATTGTTTAGCAGCTGAGGTGCCTATGTCTGTACCTGGCAAATTTTATTTCTGCTCTTCAGTGTTTATGAAAACAGGCCAATAAATATTATCTTTGATCTTACAAGTTAAAATGGAATAGGTGGCCTCCAAAAACCTTTCTCTCTGAGTATTTCTACTGAGAGAAGTCTCCATACATCAGACAGCAAATTCAGCTGCTGTCATTCCCATCTGAGGAGAGGCTGTGAATAGCAGCACTGCATGGTCCAAGATATTAGATTTGGGTGAACCAGCAGGAAACATGGGACAGCTTGGAAACACCTGTGTGCACTCATCAGTGCACTCATTCACACTTCAGCAGCTCTGAAATAACTCCCATCGTTTTAAAGCAGAAGGCATGGTATTTAGACTAATGAAGTTCATCCAAGCATCTTGACTTCTCTGATACAAAGGAATAGTGAAGGAATGTGTTTGCTTTCAGTGCATTAGCACTCAAGTCTTTGACTTGGGACTCTCACAGGGTCTCTGGATAGTGTGTCTGTACGGATAGCCTGTTATGCGTGCCTTCAGAGAGATACCGATGCTCAAAACTTAATAATTGAACAAGGAGCTAAAAGATTAATCTTCAATAAATCCTAATTACTTATATAAAATAAGGACATAGGTGTATTATTAGTTTGTATTGTAACAGAAAATGTAACCTTTTCAGTTTACCATGCCTCAACACTGGGATATTTCTTTTGCTATCCAGCAAGGTGAAGATGGCTTTTTCACTTGGCTCACCATGTTTTCCTATGCAGATGTTTGACTATCGTAGAATATTGCAGTAGATATCTTTGTCAGAAAGACCAGAGGAATGGTTGTTGTACTGAGACCACGGTATCAGCGGATACCAAGACAAAAGCAACAAAGAGCACATCATGTTTACCTAGCCGGACAGATGCCAAAGTACCCCTATGACAGGAGGTGGTAATAAAATCCCTTCTTCACCTCCCCTTTTCCTGCTACAGTGCTGAAGTACTGCTTGCTTCGGATGAAGTATAACCACTTCAATAAAATGAGCGAAAAGAATGGTGTCACTGTGATCAAATAGTTGTTGCCTGATCTTGTTGGTTACAAATAGAACAAGCCAAGCCATTGAATTGTACCTCTGGAACTGAGAAGGCTGATGTTTATTTAATATTTACTATGGTCTGAAAGTCATATTATGTAAAAACTGTCAGATCGAAGCTTGTCAAACAGCCTTACCCTCTGGCCGCACAACAGAACAGCTGAATGTCAATTGAGGACTTTTGCTGAGTAAAACTGGTGGAGCTTTCTAATATTAGCTACCTGCTGAAGTGGTTAGTTGAAAGATGGAGATGTATAATCAATGTTCTCTTCCCAAACATCATCCTTCTCCCTGTCTCTGTTTCATGCACATGTTAGGTGATGCAGGCACCAAGCTGAGGGCCCAGCTCCTATGCCTCTTGACTAGCTTTTGTGTAGCTGCAGGTTTCGTTATGTTATTGCAAATGATTTATGTAAAATGCTTTCTCTCCGTGCCACTTTAGCCTCATACTCAGAAATGGGAGCTATGTCCGTGAAAAAAGAGAAGGACTTAACTTGCTGTCCTGTATATCTGTCTCTTTCTTTAATGAAACAGGCATAAAGGGAACAGGCATATGCTTCCCAGTGTTGTATGGAGTAGATACCCTGCTGACTCAGTATCCCACCAGAAAACTGTTGCTGTGATCTCTTTAGAAACAATGTCACAGAATTTCATAGGGAAAATCCTGCTGCTTGACTTCTGGTGGTGGAAAGCACTGGTGAAATGCTGCAGGGCCAATGCTACTGGTGAGTTTTTGCAGAGCACCATGTGAGGGGTCATCCAGTAGCAGATTTGCGGTGGAAGGACATGCTGCCTCTCAGTGAGTCTTTGTTGCAAATACTGGGTTTGACTCTGGTCTCACCTTCACTGGTTGAAATGAAGAGAACAAATCTGGTGTTCAAGGAAGAAAAGCCAGAATCAAGACCTCACCTTTTCAAAAGCTGCAGAAATTTATTTTTGTGGGTTTTTTTTTTTTAGTTCTGTTCTGAATTACATTGTTGTGGATTTTCCTATCATTTCCTACCTGTAGTGTGAAGAATATGCATTTTTCTCACCCCTGAGAGAAATGTATTAAATGCCTTTAGTGTTCCCAAACCTTTACAATGCAATTAACTTTTCTATGCCAATCAACTCCAGCATCCTTTGTCAACCCTGGGATGCTTATAACTTGAATAAGGTCAGCAGATGTTGCCATGGATTTTTTTGCTTCACAAGCTAAGGAGGAATTAAATTTGGCAACTGTAGCTGAAATTCTCAGTGATTTACAGTATTAACTAGACAATGAAGTTTTCCTGCAGAAATAACAAGTCCATAGGGACTGAGTTAATTGCTGTTTTTCCGTGCAGTAACCCAGTGCGATCCCTCTTCAATTCTGCATTGTGGTAAATGCGAGCCCTGGCACTAATCGGTGTTATCCTTTCATCTGGCATTTGGAGCTCTGTTAGTGGTTATTTGTCTGGAATAATAACATTTGCTGACACTAATTTATAATGAAATTATTATTTAAACAGAAGAACAGTCTGTTTTTTTGCATCTCTTTGCTCTTGATTTTTTCTTCCCATTTTCACCCATAAAAACTAAAAGTTACTTGATAATACTCATTAGAAGGTAACTGATGTTTCTGATAAACCTCCAAAACCTCATTGTAATTTGGGAGAGATTCATTATTGTGTGTTTCTGTTTATGACAGAATGCAAAGTCTGGCGAAATCCCTTAAATCTGTTCAGAGGAGCTGAATATAATCGGTAAGTGCTACAAAGTTACAGTTTCAGGCATAGTGCTGGGTTAAGGGCCTTGATTGTACTTTTCCATTAATCTAACTCAGAGGTGGAAAAACAAAACCAACTGTGGACACTTGTGCTCATGCCAGGTTTTTCTGTCATTTTTTAAATGTTTCTGAATTAAAAAGAACTTAAATTCATGCTCATGCACTTGCTATTTCTGCAATTTTTGGTGGTCTTATTAAAAAAGGAAAACCTAAATGTGGTGTACCCAGTACAGTAATTCTGTTCAAATCAGTTATAGCAAACAACCTTATGAATTATATCTAGGTTTCATGTAGTCCTAATGTTTGAATATGTATGTTACCTATTTCCAGTGTGTACTTTCCAACATCCTCATTAGCTTAGGTTCAACTACTGTTGTTCCATCACAGTACAGTGAAATGGAATGCATGTTGGTTAGAAGATTGGCTAGGTGAATTTAGTAGGCTATCCCCATCTCCAGCATGTAGGATTCTTGTCTGGATTCTTTTCGCCAAATGTGACCTCATTAACCAAAATGTCTCTTTGTTGGCATATTTGCAGGTATACATGGGTAACAGGGAGAGAACCTTTGACTTACTACGATATGAATCTTTCAGCACAGGACCATCAGACATTCTTTACATGTGACACAGATCATTTACGGCCTGCAGACGCTAGTAAGAGACATTGTGAACAACCATTTTTGCTAGTAGGTTAATGATTGTTTTAAAACGATGCAAGAAAAATGCAGTCAGACATCGATCTCTTGGGTAGATAAGAAAAGGTAAAAGTTTGATCATGCCTGGAAGGCTGTTGCTGTTGGGTTCGTAGTATTCTAGAGGTGAACAAGTATTTATACAGGTATAAACTAGCTAAAAATTTGTGTCACTATTCCTGCTGAAGTGATTCAGGGTACCATTTGCAAGTGTAAAGACCTGGTTTTGCTTCCTGTTTCTTGAAGTGGCTTCGAATGTGTATAGCTTAATTTGCATCAGCTGCAGTGTAGTATGTTGAGTTACATTATCTAGGTCCCATTTAGTCTACGCTGACAGAAAAGGGAGTGCTTTTGTAAAGCTTGAGTCCTATGTTTCATTCCCTCACGTAGTTAGATGCTCTGTAAAAAATGGAAACAACACATTTACAACTGAATTTGATGTAAGCAACTTCAGTTGTATTAAGCCTTTACTGTTACATTCACGTGTTGACTTTGGTTCTGCTAAAAATGTATGACAGTGATTTTAATCATCAGGATTTGCCTCTGAAGAGACAAATCTTCTTTGTCTCTTGGGGAAGGATTGATACTGACAGTTGGGCGCTCCATTCTGAGGGCAGTTATAAAGGAGAACATACTATGCTTTTTTGGCATTTGACACACGATAAGTATGTATCCTATTTTCTGAACTCAGTGGGCTAATTATGAGGTGATCTGATTAGACTGGATGTTGGTTCCATTTAACATTCACCTAAAGCAACAGCACAGTAAGGAACTAGAATAAGGATCCCAACTATCCTTGTATTCTTCTGTGCCCTGTGGAATCTACTTACCCAAGAGGAAAAAGCTGCTTGTCACCTGTATGTGACAGTGCAGATGGCATGATCTCTCAGCCAGATTTTCCATGGAAAAAAGTTTAACTAAATGAAAGAATAAAGCTGAGTAGTTGGGACAAAAGCTCATGTTGATTATGTATCTTTTGAGCGACCACTGAGCTCTTTGAAATGCTCTGGAGTGAGTCAAGCTGAGACTAATAAATTCTGTTATTACAATGCAGTAGATTCTCCTTGTTAACGCTGTAATGACTGATATGCCCCTGTTCTGCTTTGTTTACTGAATAGTAATGCAAAAAGCCTGGAGAGAGAGAAACCCCCAAGCCCGAATTTCTGCAGCACATGAAGCTTTGGAATTGAATGAGTGAGTGACAGCACAACTAACATTTATTTCCTGTTATTTAAAAATCCATTTGATGATAGCTTAAGGCAGGGGGTTTGCTACAGTAATTTTTAACCATGATTACAGGCTTGTCACAGGAAGACCTACAGTGGGAGGAAAAAAGCACAGCTGCATGTTGTGCTAGCCACCCAGAAAATCCTTAGGGCAGTGATAACAATGGGAGTCTTCCCATTGATGTCGGTGGGCTTTGGATCAGCGTAGCGAAGTGGTAATTAAGTTGCCTCCTGATGACCATATGAAATATGGGATGGAGAGTTCCCTTTTGGATTTTTCAGTCATCCTGAACAGAGGGAAGAAAGAAGGGACTCATAAACACCTTCTGAAATACTCATTTCATAGTGTGAGAGAATATGATGTCATTTTCTGGGACTTTTGGTCTTTGTCCGTAATTTATTTTCTCAATGAGAAGTGTAGTATTCTGAGATCCCACAATAAACTCAGTGCTGTGATGCTTTACTGGCATAGCAAACTGTATAAATGTTGCCAAAGTGCATAAAGTAGAGAAAGTCCCTTAGGTTGCTGTCAGAGATTACTGCATTGTAGAATTCCATAAACTGGTGCTTTATGGATTGTCCTTCACATGTTTCATTAGAAGGAGGAAAAGAATTGTTTGTTCCTGGACAGCAGTTTAACTGACAGCATGTAGCATAAAAGGCTTTTGCAGAAGTGAGCTATAAGCCTATCCTGTTCTACTTGCATATCACAGAATCACAGAATGGTTGAGGTTGGCAGGGACCTCCAGACATCATCTGGTTCAACCCCCCAGTTCAAGCAGGGCCACCTACAGCACGTTGCACAGGACAATGTCCAGACAGCTTTTGAGTATCTCCGAGGAGGGAGACGCCACAACTTCCCTGGACAACCTGTGCTGGTGCTTGGTCACCCTCACAGTAAAAAAGTGTTTCCTGATGTTCGGACAGAGCCTCCTGTGTTTTAGTTTGTGCCCATTGCCTCTGGTCCTGTCACTGGGCACCACTAAAAAGAGCCTGGCTCTGTCCTCTTTGCACCCTCTCTTGAGGTCTTTAAAAACATTGATGGTTATCCACCCTGAGCCTTCTCTTCTCCAAGCTGAACAGTCCCAGCTCTCAGCGTTTCCTCATATGTGAGGTCCTCCAGTCCCTTAATCATCTTCATAGCCCTTTGTTGGACTCTCTTCAGTATGTCCCTGTACTTCTTGTACTGGGGAGCCCAGAACTGGACACAACACTGAGGTGTGGCCTCACCAGTGCTGAGCAGAGGGGAAGGATGACCTCCCTTCACCTGCTGGCAACACTCCTCCTAATGCAGCTCAGGATACCATTTGCTGCCTGTGCTGCAAGGGCACATTGCTGTCTCACGTTGAATTCAGTGTTCACCAGGATCCCCAAGTCCTTTTCTGCCAAGCTGCTTTCCAACTGGGTGGCCCACAGCAAGTACTCGTGCTTGGAATCTTGTTTTCACCCAGACCTGTTGTTACCTGCTCCTCAGCTCTTGACTCTTTGTGAAATGCAACTAAAGGCAGCGGCAGCCTGATTCTATTTCTGTATAAGGAAGAATCTTACCAGCAATGTGCTTTGTATCAGAAAGAAGTCAACAGGCTATATCCCACCTAACTTCAGCTGCTAAAAATGTGGCCATCGAGTTTAAAGTAGTTGCCTGGGCTCCCTCTATAGCCAATGAGAGCGACACCCCCATTCAGCAATTCATCCTGTTCTTAGATAGATGTTTAAACATGTGAAATGAATGGCTTTGTGAAGATGCTCCTTGATGGAGGTGGAGGAGCACAGATAGTTAAGAGATCTAAATTGGACAGCTAAAAGCTGGATGAGGTGACTCCCACCGCACATTTCACCTTTCTGTGAAAAAGAAATTTGTGTATTCCTAAGACAGCTAAAAGCTGGATGAGGTGACTCCCACCACACATTTCACCTTTCTGTGAAAAAGAAATTTCACCTTTCTGTGTATTCCTAAAGCTGCTTTCCTGTTTGTTTGTGGTTTTTGTTTGTTTTTTTTTTTAATCTTTACAATTACAGTTATAACTTGTTCTTTGCATATGACAGGTCTTACAGGTCTATTGATTCTTTTCATACCATTATAGTAATGGAGACATTTTGTGTTAAAACAATAGTGCATAAAACTAGTCTTGGTTTCCAAAAGGAGTGTGGCTCACTGATGTAGGCCACAATTGCTTAATGAGACAGTGCTTTACTTTCTGAGGCAGTTGTCAATAGGTTTACTCAAGTGGCTGAGTGATGCAGTACCTACACACAAGAGTCATGATCTGGTTGCCAGAATATTTATTCATCAGAGTAGTTCATCAGAAAGATGCCCAGGGAAAACTATATTGCTTCTGTATTTGTATATCTTTGCCAGTCTGCATGTCTTTGTACAGCTTTTACTTCATGCAACTTTCTCATTTTTCCTCTGATATTTTTGCAGGTGTGCTACTGCCTATATTCTCTTGGCTGAAGAGGAAGCGACAACAATTGTAGAAGCAGAGAAGCTGTTCAAGCAAGCTCTGAAAGCTGGAGAGGGCTGTTACAGGCGCAGTCAGCAGTTACAGCACCATGGTGCCCAGTATGAAGCCCAGCACCGTAAGTGTCTTTGGAGGGAATAGCCATTTCTAAAGGGAGATGGGTTCTGGAGAGTTCTTTGGGTTTTGGGTGGGTTTTTTTCCCTCTCAGAATGATGTACTCAGTATTTAACATTGTCTGGAATATGGCTGTAAAGCCAGACTATTCTGTTTCAGTGTTTTTGCTTGATTCTGTTGCTGGGCTAGCAACACTCAGATTACAGATGCACCTTTTCTTTGTTGTGGCAGAAAATATTGTAGCATGTACTTAGCAGAAAAGAAAAGATAGCAGAGCCAAAAGAGATCTGATACTCAGAAAATGCTGGACACTCTTTTAGGAAGTTGCGCTGAAGTGCCTTTAGCCATTTTGAAAACACGGGCTCATGTTGTGAAAAGGCATAAAGAATGATGGAAATGGGAGTGAAGTGATATTTTGCCAGCTTTTTTCCATCAGCTGTGAGAGTAAATACATATACAACATTGTTCTGTATACAAGTTAATGAGATCCGTTAACCAGTGTGACATTTGAAATGTTAGTTGCATACATTGAGAAAGGTCACAGAAACATAAAAATTAACAACTGGAATAATACAGTACTCTAATTGAAAGCCTAGATTTTTTTTTTTATTTCGCATAAGCAGATTTAGCTGCTGTGATGTTTCTTAAACCTAAGAAAATACATGAGGGCTCACTGCCAGTAAATGAACAAAAGGATAAATAAAGCAAAGTCTAGGTTATTTCTAGTCTACAACGGCTACCTCAGGCAAAAATAATACCAATTACATGAGTACAAGCACTAACATACTTTGGACATCTTCAGGTTTCTCAGGACCTGAATTCACAGCCTCTGGCTATCTCACATAATTTGAAGATTGCTGATAAAGGTTGTACATAGTGAAATTGTCTGTGATCTCTGGTTTCAAAAGTGTACACAAGTCTAAACCTGAAAACCTGAGGTTTTATAAAGCTTGGGGATAATATTTTAAACATTTGTTGGTTATAAAATGATATTTAGGATGATTTGCTTATTTTTGGAGAAAAAATAGAGAGCAGCTGAGCCCTTGAAGCAATTTTCAGGCTCTAGCAGGCTTGTGGTTGTCTGTGAAACCTTAATTTGTGCACTCAATCCATCCTGAGTGCAGAAAATGACAGCGATTCTATGAAAAATATACAATAAGGCTAATTAAACACTGTCATGATCATTATGTCCAAGACAACCTGGTTAAGTTTGTGCAGGCAAGTATAAGTATGGTATTTTTGTAACCTGTGGATGCTAGATGGCTACTGTCATCATGAAATTTAACACCCTGAAGCTTCAGTATTACAGCAGAGTAAGCAACCAGCTGAATCGCAAAATAAGTGCGTTGCCACAGAGCAGGAGCAGCTGAAAAGTGACTACCAGGTCTGGTTGCGGCTTCAGAGGGGGGGCTTCAGGAGGGCCTAGGTCATCACACTTCTCTATACTACCCAGCCTCCCCTTGATAATGTCAGTATGCACCCACAGATGCTACAGAAGTTGCAGCCTCAGATGGTGCCTTGGACACAGGGGCTTCAAGTAGGATTCTCTTGATTATATGCTGGACTTCTGCATGGTTTACAGAGGTGGAGAGCTCAGCTCTCTTTAGAGAGGAAGGACCATGGACAGATGTGTTGCAGTTACACCATGGTTCTGAGATGTCTGTTATTCCATTTCTGGTCCTTGAAGTTGACTTTGAGATAAAAGTTGACATTTCATCTTTTACAGGTGAAAAACACTATGTATTTTCTTAAACAACAGCATATTGCTCTATCTTTCTGCTTATTCATGTGTTTCATCCCCTTCATACAGTATTTCATGTTAGACCGTGAATTTTAAGAGTAAATAATGACTTCAAGTACCCCACTTAACCTCTTTCAAAAGATGCTAGTTTATAGAAAGTGCAGGCAGTCTTCTTTTTAAGGTGGCTCATGTCAGTCACCTCAAATCATTAGTCACCTCAGAAAATTTTGGCCTGAAAGGTTATCTCAATTTCAGAGTAAGTAAATGCCTTTTGACCATTCCTTCTGAAAATGACTGAAAAGGAGCTTGGCCTGAAATGTTTACGTCTTAGTTACAGTACGTAAACATGTTGTCATGTTTATGTCATTTATGTCAGATGTGACTAATAAATTGTTTATTAAATATATAGGAATCCATACAGAGATAAGGAATTACGTAATATGAAATACAGCTAAAGAAATTCCTTCCCTCCCTTTCTTATTTTTTTCTTCTAAAGTCAGACCTTTCAACCTGCTGCTTAATCTATCTGAAAATCATAATGACAGCTTTAAAACAATTTGTAGGTACTTGGAATGTTTTCAGTGCACATCTTGTTCTTATTATGAAAGACTTGAAAATGTTAGGAACAGACTAAAATCTTTACAGACTGCATACTATACACAAAGATAATTTGTAGCAGGTGTTTTGTATTTTCACAATATGGTAATTTTTTAGATGATTAGCTGTCCACACGTTACATTAGAAGTTCACACTGGAGTTATAGGGAAGAGAATGAGAAATGAAACAAATAAGAATTCTCCAAGAGAATAATTACTGCAGTTATTTAGTTTCTGTCATCTTTGCTGTTAGGGCATCTTCCAGCACCTAGGACTCTCATATCTGAAATGTATTAATTTGCCATCCATAATTAGCAGTGTGAGGAATTTGAAAATGATAATTGGATAACAAGTAAAGGCTCTGTAAACTAAAAGTTCACAGGGTATACTACTTTTCCTGTAAACATTAAGGAAAGAGACTGTTAGAGGATGAGGATTTGTTTTGCTACATCTCCTGTTAACAAGCATGTACATCCTAATTTACAAAAAGGGCAGGATATAACACGCATTTTCATGAACGCTCTTGTCTTAACCATATATGTGAATTGGTAATTAATTTAATGTTGTGTGTGTGACCACAGAGTTTTGTGCTGTGTTAACTTCACAGGGATTCTTCTTGCCTCACTTGGTTACTTGATGGTCTGTACCCTATAGCATTCTCTGTGCCTGCAGATCTGCTTATATTTCTCAGGTGTGAGGCCAACCCATGGGTCCTTATTGATACCACTGTATACCTGGGGTAATTTCACTGGTTTCAGTGATGCTATGCCACATCTAAACCATCAGAATTTGGCAATTTTTTATTAAAATTACTGTGAAAGCATTGATGATAAAGAATAAGAAAAAATGGCAAGAAAAGTGTGTTTCTTTTTGTGTTGGAATATTAAATGAACCTGTGTTCTATCTTTTTTATCTTAATGCTGTTTCTTTTTCCTCTTATACAGGAAGGGACACCAATGTGTTAGTTTATATTAAGAGGAGGCTGGCAATGTGTGCAAGAAAGCTGGGAAGGACCAGGGAAGCAGTGAAAATGATGAGAGATGTGAGTTTGGATTTGTTTCGCATGTGATACTTAGATAATAGTAGCATAGAAATGGTACGCATTTGCTTACAAGTTAGCATCCATTTCTGCTGCATGCAGCACTGCTGATAGTCATTTTATATGTGTAATGTACATAAAGATTATGTACTTAAGAGGTCATTTGTAACATTGCGAAAGCAACACTATGAAGTCATAAAATACCAGACAGACGGTTGCCCACACAGACTGAATTTCCCATCCTGGTACATATGCAGTGTAGTGCAGTCTTTAATTACTTGATTATGAAGTTACATAACATTTTTTCTGAAGCACGTAATGAATGCTGCCAGCTTAATGAACAGGTCTTAAGTATTGTTTCCTCCTTGCAAAGCTGCAGTTTGGCTCTGTGCATTGTTTATGTCACACTATTCAGACCTGAAGACAGTGTTATTTATTCATGCAAAACCTATTTTTGAGAAGTCAAAAACAAGTAATGAATCTATAATAAACTGATTTCCCTCTGAGATGGGGGATGATTATATCCCTGTTTTGTAGGCAGGGGAGCTACCAATGGTAGTCATAAGTCAGTAAGCTACAAAGCTACAAACCTGAAACATCAACAAATTTGAAACATTCCCCCTGATACTTTGGGGATGGCAGGAGGGGCAGCTGTCCACATAAGGCACTGTATATGTTTCAAGTATGTAAAATGCTCGAGTTTAGAGATAGCTGTGAAGGCCTAGCATTTCTTCAAGTGAGATCCCCTGGATACAGATGAGGAACACAGTTCTTTTGAGGACGTGAGTAAGGTAGCAAGTCTGTGACAGAAGGAAGAATGGAGCCCTAGAGCTCTGGGCAGATGATGGTAGAACTGTTTACCAGTTTCCTGTGTTCTCCTTTCTTACACTTCATTTTCCAGCTCCCCAAATGTAAGGTAGAGGTGAATCCAGCAAGATGTTGACTTCTGCAAGTTAAGCTGAAGGACCTAGATTTTAAATGCACAAAATGGAATCCCAGACCAGAATGAAGCATCTGTAGTGTGCTTTAGGTAGCTCGGATGAATGGTCCCAAAACCTGCCTAGTGAAAAGGGAAATTCTCACCACAAGTCAGTGGGAATTTTAATGGAAAAAGGCAAGTGACTTTTCTCTGGAGCTTAGGCACTTGCATCAATGGCAGTATGGCAAGTATGTCTGCCAGCTTGGAATCCAGCACCCAGCATCTTCTCCTGGAACTAGGGCACGCATGGGTATTTTTTGAAAGCATTGAGCAGAATTCATTGTAATACTACAGATCCTCGTCCTAAATAATCTACCAGATGGCAAGTGGTGAGTTAACTTTGTTTCCTGTCTCTAGCTGGGGTTTTTCATGCACACAGCTCTCACTCCACAGAATCACTAGGCTCCCAGACAGAGGTGTTGAAAAAGAACTTGTCAAAAACCCAGCCGTTGTACAGCTAGGAGTGTGAGAAAGAGGAACGAGGAAGAAAGACCTGGTTTTGCAGTCTTGTGGTTAGCTGGGAGAGTGTTGATTTCAAAAATGTTATTTTCAGTCCAGTCACCTCCACTGATTCTTTATGAATTTTGTTACACAGGCACTCGGGGACAAATACTGAAATGTTTGGGGACAAACACTGGAATTCTAAGTTCTGGCATTAATATGCAAGAAGGATAAAATTTTGAATTTCACATTCAAATGTCACACATCATAATTATGGCAACTTCTGGAGCTTACTATGGGCTGCTGAATGTGTTTTGAGATTTGTAGATAGGGCTATGTGGAACAGATACTCTGTGAAGCCGCCTTCTGCTGATGTCAATACGTATGGTTAATTGTGTATGCAGAGCACTGGATTCAGGGACTTGGGTGATCTATGTAGTCCTAGGTTTCTTATGCAAAGTGAGACCCAGAATGCTTTGATTATAATGAATGGCTTATTCTGTCACTAGAGAAAAAAATGTGTGTTGTTGAAGTTAAGTACAATGTGGATCTTGAAAGGCAGCAATGACAGGGAGACCCAAAGGCAACGTTTGTTAGACACTTGAAGGATAGAAAACACTCTCCAAAACATAGGAATGTTTTGCTAAAATGAAAGGACTGGATGCAAGGCAAAGGAGGTATAAAGATAGAATTTCAGCTTCTAGAGCTTCAACTCAGATCAATGCATTGTGTATTTTTCCACATACAGACACTGAGCCAAATCCTCAGAACTGAATTTAGATGCCTCTAGAGCTCTTCATGGTGAGCGAGCAGAGCTGAGAATTAGCAGGTCCCTAGATGAAATATAAAAGCAGCAGTATCTCTAGGTCACAACTCCAGTACACTGGGAGCAAGAGTAGGGTCAAGTCAGCTTTGCTGATGCTTTTCTTAGACTAACTTGGAGCTACTTATTTCTCATGAATGCATATCTTCCATTTCTTCATAGAAGACCTAAATAATATACTTAGAAGACATAAATAATATACTTATGAAGAAGTTTGAAGAACGTGAATGTGTCATTGAAGGTTTCTGTGTGATTGATGAGGGAGGAGATGAATTTATTCGCCCTAAGAAGAATATGAAGAAAATGTTGGCTGGGGACTGCTGAATCGAGCATCAGGGGATGGAGGGCGGAGGCCCTGTTTGTGTTTGAAGGATTGAAAACAGATTTCTCAAGACATGGAACATGATGGAAATGAAGTGTTAAGAGGTTCATGACACCATCTGGGAAATATGATTGGGATGTAGTGAGTCTTTGCCACTTTGAAAAAATAAAATATTTGAGAGTGTTTAATTCATTGCATGTATGAGGCCATCTTGAGGACATTATTGATGGATTAGATTGTCTTACTTGAATTTTATGTAAGAAAAGTCTGAGATCCTGCTTAAAACACCTCAGTGGAAAGAAAATGAGTTGTTGGTGACTTAAGATTTTAATGTTATGGTTATATACACTGCTGATAGGAAAATCATATTCTCTAATATTATATTGGAGATATTTAAATCCAGTTGTTTTAAAACTTTAGAAACAGAGTTTTTTAATTTAAAAAATGGGTAGGAATTTCTGTTGCTTCTGTGATTGATTTTGAGATGGTATTTTGTTGCTGGCTTTGCTGCTTGGATGTCATTCATTTAGTTGAGTTGAATTAATGAGAAATACAAACCTGTAATTTTCATGGAAGCACGTAATTGAATCATACATAGGTGTTGCTTTTGATTGTATTTCTGATGATAATTGTTTACTATATTTTGCTATAGAAACCAGCAGCTGTCACTATTTGTATATATTGAGTTAACTTGTGATCTCATTTTGATTAGTGTATTGTTGGAATAACTCCAGTCTAGTCAATGGAGTTATTCCAGTTTCATTCCTGTTTATACAGAGAATGATACAGTCTGTGAGGGAACTAGATCTCTCTTACTGTCCCTGAGGAGAAAGTCTACAGTGCTGGTTGCTTTATTTGTTGTGCTGATTCTGTTAGGAGGATTTAAACTAGCGTGTTCTAAATGATGTTGGAAAATCTGATACGTGCAGAGGTGAAAGTTCCTAAGTGGTGGCTGTGGGGAATCTTCAGTATCCCTTCGTTTTGGGATTTTGGGGACAATCATCTTTATAGTGGACAATGTTGCAAGCCTAGTAGCTACATGCTGATGAGCAAGCGATACCTTTTGTACCAGCTGCTCTCTCTCTCTGCTCTTTGCCAATTCCCTCACCATTACAATGGAAGAAAACAGAAGTGTGCTGGGTTTGTGTTTCCTGTTTTTCATTATTAAAAACAGAGAGGATGTGGAGGGTATGCAGAGACACTTCTTTCTGTACTTTGCAGGTGACTGGATCAGTGACTGTCTGCACTACTGAATTCAAGGGCATACTGACACAGTATTTCCTTTGACTGGGTCATTGGAGTGTTCAGATGAAAATGTACCGTGCAAGAAAGTGAATTGTCACATTAATTTGAGCTTCTTGTGATTGTTCTGGAGAACATTTGGACTGTGGAGCAAGCTTTCATTGAAGGATGATGTATGTTTAGGAAAGAGAAGAGTGGCAGGCAGAAGGTGTGCTAGCGGACAAAGTGTACAGAAGCTCTTAATTGCTTCCTCTTTCAGAGAGAAGATGAAAGAAACTTATTCTAGAGTGTCTTTATCTCCTACTCTGTGGCCCTACGCTCCCCTGAAGACTGCTTTGTAGTCTTAACAAGTATATGTTTGAGACACAGTGGAATTGCAACTTGCCCCGTGCTTTGCAGCTTTGCTTAGCAACAAGTGAGGTTTAGGGAGAGAAGAGACTCTTCAGGTCTTTCTTCAGATCTGGAGAAGGATAGAAACCAAAACACTTTTTAAGGGTCAGAAGAGTACATTTAATTTCTGGGATCAGTCATATCTGCTGAGAAATTACTCTTCAGATCACAGTAAAGGACGCAGAAGTCTACTTCTATGTACCTAGCTCCAAGAACCTTGCTGAGGATATTTCAGTTAGATGTTTATGTGTTCATCTCAGTGCTCACCTGAAGTCTCTAAATGCATATTTTATGCCACAGGAGACACTAAGGAATTGTCAGTACCTAAGCAACTTGTATTGTTAAGCGTGCTGCATGCTTATCAATGGGCTGCATGGTATGTTGTTTAAACATTCAGGCTGCCCAGATCATTAAAATGGTTTAAGAGGTTATGTCATTTGAAGGCTTCAAAAGGGTACTCAACCATACTAAATAAATTTTAATGATACGGGTAGGTTGGGTTTTTATCTTTTTATGACTAGCGGTGTTAGTGATTTTTGCTGCTGTAACGGTTCTGCAAATCTATCATACTTTCTTGGCAACCTCTTTTGCTGGGCTTTAGGTTTTCTGTTCAATATTCTTTTGAATTCTGTATTCTTGTGTGCATTGCTGATTTGCTCTTGGGTAGTGGGAATAAGTAGCTGGGACATCGTTCTGCACCTTGACTTATCAAGCTGTGTGAAACAAAGAGAGTACTAATTGCTAGTGAAGATGTTACGATCCCTAGCAACTTAACACCACAACTTCTGCAGCTACTTGCATTGGCA